TATATATTGTTCTTTTTGTGGAGATGGCAAGTTTCTATTGCTATCAGCTTGATTTTATAAGGTTAACTCTATGGCTTATCATTACTAAAGGCACACTACTTCCTAAGGTAAGGGGAGTTGATCAGGAGTTGATTAATTTTTGGACCAAAATGTATGATTAATTAAGGAGGTGACTTAGATGTTTTTTTTTGTTGAATTATGATTGGATCAAGTCAATCAATTGCTCACATAAAATTTTATTTATTAGTTGAGAGAAGAATTGGAGTAAAGGGTAGATTACTTCCTATTAAGTCTTATGTGAGACCTCTAGTAGTACAAGAACTAGTACTTAGATATTTTGTGAATTGTTGATAAAAAAAATTATTTTGATATTGAAATATTATTTGTATTTATGTTGTATTGACAAAGTAAATTATCATTATGATTGACAACATGCGGATGATATTTTAGTATATTCAAATATCAAAAATCAAATGGCCTTTGACCTATTATGTTATTGGATGAGTGTACATGATGGATTCAAGTTTCATCGAATCAAGAGGTAAGACATCAAATTAATGTCTTGATGCACCGTGATATTACAAAATATTGGGTTCAAGCCTTATTAAATTACGGCCCAAACTAGTGGCGTAGCCACCTTATTGCTAGGGGGTTCATCCGAACCCCCTTCGACGGAAAATTATATTATTTATACATGGTTAAAATAATTTTTTAGGTATATATAGTAGATCTCTAACCTCCTTCGGCTACTTCGTGTGTCTATTTCTTCAGATTTTGAACCCCCTTATTGAAAATTCTAGCTCCGCCACTCACCCAGACTTCTTTTTATGGGTAAGACATTGGATTTAAGTCCTAATGCACCATAGTGATGATATAATGATGACTAACACAATATAATTATTTTGACCACAAGTCATGAATTTTTCCTTGTTGGTTTGCTTCATTCTCTTATGTGAATGTGGTAGCAGTACATGATAAGTCTGAAAGATGACAATGATTTGTGATTGTACAATGAATATGGACATGAGAAAAGAAAAATTACAATAGTCATCATTATGGATAAATGAAGAACATTATGGATTCTCCAAATAGTCCTTCAAAATGTGAAGGTAATTTTTATTATCAAAATGGTATGAAAGGTCATTGGACTTGTGATTGTTGTCGACCCAATAATTTGACAAGTTTATAAATCCTCCATAAAAAAAGAAGATAAAATGATGGTACACTTGACTTTTCAAAGTGATGTTGAAGTGTGTCAAGGAAATATGATAAATTCTTGAAAGTGAATGTGTCAAAATATGAACAAAGAAGTATGAATAAGAACATATTCATGTATGGTAGGAAAATGCCACAACTCACCTTTACAGGAGGTTTGAGAGAAATAAATAAATTTTATTTGACAGGAATAGTCAATGATCGTGTACGTTTATACGTCATAAATATTATGGTATGTTTATTGTGAACTATCGAAAGGGCAAAAAAAAAGAAGTAAATCTTGCCTATAAAGATTGTGGTCATGACCAAAATAATATTATTGTGTGACAATAAAAAATTGGCATACGTTGTGTACCTAAGGTACGACAAAAGTAAAACAAGAAACATGTCTTGCCTATAATAATTTCGACCATGACAATAATAATTTAATTTTCCCTTTGAAGGAGATGTTTACCGTACAGATGGTGTCATGGAATATGTGATAGTACACAAAATTAATTGTAAGCTCTAAAGAGCTATTGTGGTACTAACAAAGGAATAATACTGGCGTTGCAATATGTCTCAAAAGAAACTTTATAAGTTTTGAAGAAATTAAAAAGAAAAATTATTATATTGAGACAATAAATTATAGGAAGATTTAATATCTTCAAATTGCGACAACCGAAACGGGTTGGAAATATTTATGTAAAAGGTTACCCACCTTTTTCTCTTATTGTTGTATACAAACATGAGCATGATGATAGATCACATGCAAAAGTGAACTGAAAGCTTACTAGAATAAAGAAAATATATGTTGGTATGACCGATTGACCATCTCGGTTCAATTGTGAGGCAAAAATAATTAAGAATGCATATGGTTGTATATTGAAGAAATAGAAAGTTCTTTATGAATTCTCATGTGCTTCTTGTTATCGTGATAAATTGATCAATACCATCTATGGTTGGGATTATGTCCCACACTTTTTGAAACATATAAAAAGGTGAATATGGGTCTGTTCACCTGTCATGTGGACTGTTTACTATTATGATTTACTAGATGCATCTAGAGTATGGTCACATGTGCGTTCGTTATCAACTTGCAATTTGATTTTTGTAAGATTATTTGCTCGAATTGTTAAAATACGAGCATAGTTCCAAATTATAAAATCATGTTGATAATGCTGGTTGGTTTAGGAGAAATTGTATGCCTCCAATTATAGCTAAATCAAAGGTTACTAGAGAAAATCTCTCAAAAGAAATTTGGTATGAGATAAATTTATTTAACATGTAGCAATACTTGTACACATCAAGCCAACAAGGTTTCCCTATCAAAATTGGTTCATGGTCAGAAACCAAATAATTTTCATCTAAAACATTGAATGTGCGGTTATGATGTAATTGTCTATCATGCACAAAAATGGATCCCCAAATAAGATTGGGATGAATGTTAGATATTCTGACATCAGGGGGAAATATGATTGATAGTTGAAAATTATGTAAGAGATGAATTATGAATTATCCAGATCCTTGTTAGAAAAAAAAGTAAACTTGAAGTTCAAGGGATAATTCTTTTGCATAATGTTGCAAATCAATTGCCAGATGAGTTTACTAACCTTATGTTGTAATTCAGCTGCAAATGCTCCAATGAGAAATACTTGAAGGACAGAGTCTATGATACGCATGAAGCATGGTATATCGATCGATTCCAAATATAAAATTTCTTGAGGAAGGAGAGGAGCAAATGATCAAGATGGTCATGATAATGAGGCAAGTGTTTTAAAGGAGCACGACGACATAACACTTCATCAAACCTTGACAAGGGTTCAGGCACCTTAAGTGATGAAAAATGAAGAGATCTCGATAAGTTATGTCATATTGGAATCATAGCGCTCAATGATATAGATCGTAACGAGGATCTTGAATTCAAATCTGTCATATAGTGTGGACAGATAAATGATTGGCCAAATAAAATAAATAATTAAAGCATTTTTTGTTTCACTTAGAAAAGTGACATTTTGAACTGATAGTCTGTAAATCAAGGTATAATGTCAGTGGGGTACAAATAAATTATTATGCGATAGTATGACCGTAAGATATCTAGTACGGCTTGTGCCTTGAGCATAAAGATTTTTCGCAAAATTCCTGACATTATTGGAGATATTTTCTCCTATGGTGGATGCAGTGATGTTTGTTTTGATCTGGAAACATATGAAAAACTTGAATGCATATAATGAATAATTGTCATGTCTGGCTAGATAATGGAGATTATATAAAAATTCTTGAAGCATTCAAGGTGCCTGAAGTATATAAAAGATTGAAAGACACTTTTTCAATAAAATTTCAAGAATCGTTAAATGGATTGAAATAATAAAGGAAGAAATGATACAAAAAATGACTCTATTTGTCCTTGCATTTTTATAAAAATGTCAAGATCGGAATTTGTTATAATATAGTTGAGTATGTTGATCACTTGAACATTATTAGCACTCTTAAAGAGCTTTTAAAAGTTGTTGAGTGTTTGAAAAGGAAATCTAAAATGAAAAGATCTTGGTAAGACACAATTTTGTCTTGACCTACATATTGAGAATTTGACAAATGAAATATTTGTCCATCAATCAACATACATAGAAAAGTTTTGATACGATTTTACATGAATAAATCACATCCATTCAGTACCCCAATAATTATGGGATCACTTGACATAAATAAAGATCCATCTCGATCTCAAAAGAAGGATGAAGAACTTCTTAGTGATGAAACTTCATATATCAGTCAATTGGAGGCACTAATGAACCTTGCTATATAAGATCAAATATTTTGCAATGAGTTGATTGACAAGATTCTACTCCTCCCCAACGAGAACACGTTGAAATGACATCAAAGACATTTATTTGAAGTTATTAAACAAGATAATCAACTGCAAATGAAAGTATTTACAAGATGATTGTTGCTTTGAACAAGTTGAATGAGCAATTTACTTACAACAATGAAGTCACGAATAGAGTGATTTTCAAGAATGTATTCGACTAAGCTCAAAACCTCATCATATCCATAAAACCAAAAAATGATATATGAGGATGAGTTCAATCATGCAACATCTTCGTGAATGTGATTTGATCACAAAGACACTATCAATATTTGAAACCTTGGTATATAGGATTGAATGACATCATCACAAGAAATTAAGTGATGTTTTAATAAGGGGGAGTATAATACGCATTGCACACTTTTTTTCTTGATTGACGTTTTGTCCCACCGAGTTTTCCTGGCAAGGTTTTTAATGATGCAACAAATAATGCGTATCAAAAGATATGTGTACTCTTTTTCCTTTATTAGAATTTTTTCCCACATAGTTTTCCTAGTAAGGTTTTAATGATGCATATTATATATAGACATCCAAGGAGGAGTGTTATAAATCTATTGAATAGTGGATTGTCCATTTGATTTCTTCAAGAATTAATTGAATTCATGTATGTATAATCCAAAGTGATATGAACCTTGGTGGATAACTATGTATGTACTAGTTTGACTTTTAACAAAGTAACCTTTGAGTATGATATCTCAACACTATAAATAGAGATATCATTCACCATTTGAAGGACACACTTGAATAAAAAGAAAAGTTCTCCCTTGCATCTACATTTCTTGCCTTCTTCTCTTTATACTTATATTGCTTTGATCTTAATTTTATAAAACTTTTAATCTTTTTAGGTTATTAGAATTTTTATATATAGTATTGGGTCAAAATGTAAAATTTTTTTTTTATTGAAAATATTTATCATCCTTAATTAAATCTCACATGTGTTTTGTTTACGAAAATTTTTCCGTTTGGTTGTGGTGGGCATGTCGGGGGTGAAAGAGGGACGTCTAATCCAATTGTTCCGACGTCACAACTCACGAGACTTCCCCAACCAACTCTGAGGCCACCCCTCTCCCTTGACGCTTTCTTTTCTTCAAGCAAAAATCCCATTATTGCTTCCTTTCTTCTTTTCCGTTGAAATCAAATCACCCTTTTACTCCTAAAGGTACTTCAGATTGTGGGTCTTGATCCAAAATTAGATACATTACTTGTTATTCCAAACCCTCATTCTTTTTTTGGGTTTGGGTTTGGGTTTGTGGGTATCTGATAGATCCTCACAACATTTCCTTTTTTTGGGTTTTTTCTTAATGTATCAATCCTAATTTTTTATATAGGAATTGTTTCTTGCTGTATAGGTCTATTCCTGTTATTGATCGTAATATGAATGAACATTTTGGAAATTCAAGAGCAAGCTCGAGTTCTCCCTCTAGTTTGAATAGCAGTTCACAAGGTACTGAGGATGATCATGCCATTGCGAAAATCTTGGCAGAAGAAGAAGAAATTGCTTCGAGGTATGGGGGCAAGCTTGCGAACAGACTCTCTCATTTGGACTCAATCCCGGTATAATTATATTTGCTTGTACTAGACAGTTTTTCTATGTATATGACATAGTTTCAATATTGTCATGTTGTAAGTTATCAAGAATTTGCCTGTTTTGTAAATTTAGTGTTTGTCTATCATCTGTAGTAATGAGTTTTTGTATAGAGTTGCATTGATGTGAGCAGTGATTCAGTGCGCGCTTTAATTCTTGGAATAATAATATGCTACTAACCATCATATTCTGCTTATAATCTTACTGTCTTTGCAGCACACTCCAAGGGTCATTGGGCAGATACCTGATCCTAATGATGCCACACTTGACCACGGGAGGCTCTCTGGCAGGTTGTGTATCACTTTACTTAATGTATCATAGCCCTTCAGCTTGACAATTGATCTTGAAACCACAGTTTGAAATGGAGAAGTCAGATGTATGACGTCGGGGGCTCTAATTGAAGATTTCCAATTTTATTTGGTTTCATAGAATTTAAACTGGTGTATTCAAATAGTTAAAATGAAAAGCTGATGCAATCCTAGAAAAGTTATGGCCCTTTGCTTGTACAGTTTTTACGTTGTTTCTCTACAATATATTGTTCTCCGGGATAGTTAAAAGTACTTATTTGTGATCTGTAGTTGTCATCATAATGTATGGAAAAAGCCATGAGTTAAAAGAGGAAGGATGTTACTTTATATCTCTGTACTATTTTGGTATTGTCAGTAAGGAATATTTTTCCTTGTTAATGTGTAATGTTAACTATCATCAGGTTGGCAGCATATGGCCTTGCTGAGTTTCAAATTCAAGGAGATGGCAATTGCCAGGTTATTCTCTTTTAACTAGTCTACAAGCCATTGCTGCACTTGACATACATGCGTGCTATTTGTGACTATTTCCTTCGACTTATTGAACAGTTTCGAGCCCTTGCAGATCAGTTGTATCATAATCCAGAGTATCATAAGCATGTGAGGATGGAGGTTGTTAAACAGGTATGGGTACATTAAATTTTTAATATATTTTCCTTTCCTTTCATCTCATTATTATCTGTTATAAATCAAGATGTTACCAAGGCTACTGTCATTTTATTCGAGGATTGTTTTTCACTAGGATCATCACATATTACAGCTTAGGTTCTCTTCATGTGATTTTTGTAAGATTATTAGTCTTAACCATAAAAAAAAGATACAATTGTCGCTTTGAGGGTTATATGTACCTGAAGTACAATTCGCAACTCAATAATAGTGTAGCTTTTTTGCTTTTTTGTAATATCAAGATTGAATTAAACACCGCAGGCTATCTTTATCACAATTATCTACCACAAGCATCAGGGAGGCTGAAATTCGGACAATGCCAGTTTTGCTAGAGTTCAGTTTCTGTTGGAACCATATCTCAGTCGTCATATTTTTGTGATTTGTTTGCAAACTCAAAGATATATGCGAACGAGGAAGTGTTGAGACTTGCAAGGTTCTTTACGAAGCTTGTGTTTGATAGCAATACAAAGAATAGAAAGGTTAAGATGTTGTCAAGGAAGAGATGAAATAACAAGTTAATGCCTTATCATTGGTGTTCATGGACTTGGTTTAGTAGAAGTGAATAAAGCCTATCATCATCTTCTAAACAGAGCAACATTATTTCGCTTCAATAACATGTAGATCAAGTTCTAGTCTGAGAAGCAAGATATGGAATATATGCAAGAAATCCTCACCTCTCATGACACAAGTCTCAATCAAAATGGATGAATTCTTCTCTTTGATAGACAGATCATACCGAACCACAACATAAGAGAAAGCTAAATATAGAGTCACTACTTTGAGCTTAGGTGTCAGAAATTTTGTTATTTTAGTGGTACTCAAACACTGATATAAAAATACTACTCAAGCTCATGCCAACATATGCTAGTATCAACCAAGTCAAAAAGTATTTCTTCTCTCTCCTTTAGTACTACTAAAAAATAAAAAAATATAAAAACTTAACCAGTTCAAGTTACATCCCTCATAAAAGAACCGAAGCATAAAGAAAAACTCAGAGAATTATTAACTACCCAATAAAGTAGAACAAAAAAGCATCCAAGCAATCTCCTTACCCCATACATAAAATGTGCATTATCCTCAATGCATCCTATAAATAACAAGTGGGTAAAATAAACTCCCTGAAAGGCCAAATGCTGAAACATTTGCAGCTTAGGGGATACTCAGACTTCTCCAGACACAGTTCTTTATACGGGAACCCCACACTTAGTTTCACTTTGCGGCTCGCTTTTGCATACTTCTAATGACTTTACTTCCTTGCACATACTTCTACAAAAACAAAAAAACGTAATACTACAAAAAATACAATGATATATATATATATATATATATATATATAATATAAAGAAAGCAATAAGATTTGGTTGCCTCCCAACTAATGACTGATTTAATGCAGCAACACGGTGCTAACACTTTCACCAATTCTCCTTTCACTTTGAAGATACGAATTAATCCCTCAATTTTGCATCACGGGTGGTGGTAAAGGTTTTAAATGATCATGTAGCGAACATTGCATATTGCACTTCTTGGCCTTTAAGTGAGGGACCCCCGTTTTTCTTTTTGATGTGGAAAAGTTTAGAATGTAAGAGTCTTGTTCCTGATCTATACACTTCTCCATAGGTTCGGATGGCTTGATTCTCATGTCACCACCTAAACATAATCTACAAAAATGTAGAATGAGGTCTAACACGCCTTAACTTTAAACCATCATTATCATTGATATCGTCGCCCTGGTATACCTTCTCATCCTTGGCATCATAATAGTATTTCGGTTGAATGGTAAGGATTCCTCTTTCTGCTTTACAAGCTGGTCAATATCCACAACAATTGGTAGTTGGGCATCAAATGCCTCAATCTTTTTATTCAATTCAGTGTGCTAATCATGGATATCTAAGCCAAATTGGTGCATCTCTTGTCTGATCTTAGTTCTTCCTTCCATCAAATGTTTCGCCTCTTTGTAAGACCACCATGGAGAAACCCATGCAAGCTTATTAGTTGAGCTTGTTCTGTTAGCCAAGATTGACTCACTATCTCTACTTCTTCATAACTTTCTTGTTGCAGTACCTCGTTCTCTTCTTCTGCTTGGGGTTCGTCATGGTTATCAGCTAAACCTGTAACTTGTAGATAATTATAAGTTTTAGTCTTAGCTTGCATTGACACTCATCCCTATGGCTTTCCTATTTTATGCGTTCTGCTCCAATATTTGCTTCATCATATCACTAAGTCGAGCATCATGTTCCACATCTTCCACTTCATTACTCCGGTTAATATCACAAACAAAGGAGAATCATAATAGAGGATTGGGGAAGAGGAATAAGACATTCCACTCAAAGAAAATGTGCGCACACTCTGCCTTGAAAAAATGATGACAATTTATATTTAAGTGAGGACCTCCACAGTACAATTAAGAAATACCAACATATGAATACCCATTACTCGATGAATTTACATTCCGAGATGCCATTTCAAAAAGGATAAAGAATACTACAAAAAACAAATATATATACAAAAATAAAAAAATTAAATTGGACTAGACAAAACAAAAGTCTAACAAAACATGCAAACTTATATGGAATCTTGGTCTTCCAGATCTGTTTCCAAGGCCAAAAAGTATTCATTGGTTCTATCTGATTCAACAACTTATACCCTGAGCTGACTTTATAAAGTCTTTTTTTTTTTGAGAAAGGTAACATTTACTTCTATATATCCACAGGTATACTACATCAAAGTGTAGTTCCCCTCCAAATATTTATACTTACATCAGCCCTAAGATCTTCTAGTTACAACCAGTCAATAACATTAGAAACATCTTCAGAATTTGCTATTACTACTTGCTTACACCAAAAATAATAAAGAATTTCCATCACTATTCCAGCATTTTAGAACTTCTGTGATTCTCCCTGGTTTTGTCCACTTGATCTTCCTCTTGTGAATGAACATTTGCCATAATTGATCTGTCCATTTGCAGTGCAAAAAGAGATGGTTGACTGTCTCCACCTGTTCTTCGCATAAATAACATCTAGAGCAAAGGTTGTGTTTCCTCTTGTTCAAGTTTTCGTGTGTCAAGACTTCCTCCTTTGCCAAAAGCCATGTGAAATAATTCACCTTGTATGGGATTTTTGTTCTCCAGATCATCCTCCAAGGCCATCCTGCTTTCTGCTCTTCAATAGGTCTCAATTCTCGATATGCAGATCTTAGAGTGAACTCTCCCTTTCTCTCCCCTTTCCATATCAGTCTATCTTGCTCTTCTGTTAGATTGGTAGCCCTAGCCATTGTGTCATGAAATCTTGCTATGGATGTTATTTCCCAGTCATTTAAGTTTCTTCTCAGATGTAAATTCCACCCTTGTCCTGTCCATAAGTTTGCCACTGATGCTTACTGTGCTTGACTTAGACTATGTAGCTCAGGGAATGCTTGTTTGAGTATCTCCTGTCCGCACCAGATGTCATTCCAGAAGGCCACTTTTTCTCCATTACCAACCTTACATTTTGTTCTATCTTTGACCAGTAGCCATAAGTTCCTGATTGATCTCCATACACTACAATCATAAGGGCTGATCACCCCCTCTGTCATCCACTTGTCCTCCATGCCATATTTTGTTGTTATTACTTCCTTTCATAGAGATACTTCTGGTGAGGCAAATTTCCACAGCCATTTCATCATCAAGCTCTTATTTTGCATACTTAGATCTCTGATGTTGAGTCCACCCCCTCTCTTGCTAACTAGCAACTTCTCCCATTTGACCAAATGATACTTCTTCTTATCTTCACTGTCTTTCCATAGAAAGTTCCTCCTAATTGCATCTAACCTCTTGGTTACTTTGGCTGGTATAGGGAATATTGACATCATGTATGATGGCTAGGCATCCAGGACACTGTTGACTAGAGTTAGTCTGCCACCTGAGGATAGATATTGACACTTCCAGCACGAGCTTCCTTTCACACTTTTCAATTACACCACTCCATAATCCACTTGATTTGCTCTTAGCCCCCAAAGGCATTCCCAAGTAGGTTGTTGGTAGTTCACCTACTTTCCCTCCAAGCTTGTAAGCTAAGTCCTCAATATTTGGTACTGTGTTTACTGGATAAATGAAACTCTTGCTCCAGTTTATGTGCAAACTTGACACAGCCTCAAAAATATTTAAAATGACTCTCAAAATTAGCATGTGCTCCTTTACAGCTCCACAAAATACTAAAGTGTCATCTGCATACTGTAGATGAGTGATCTCTAGATTGTTTCTTGTATTCTCCCCACTTTGAAACCTCTGATCCAACCATTTGCTCTTGCAGTCTGGAATAGGTTGCTCAACCCCTCCATAGCCAAGATAAAAAGAAAAGGAGATAGGGGGTCCCCTTGTCTCTTTCTGTTGATCAGAATAGAGAATTTCACTGAGCTTATGCAATGTCTGATCCACTTTAACCATCTTTTACCAAAACCCATCCTCTGCATCATCATCAAAAAGTTCCAATTCAGGTGATCATATTCCTTCTGGATATCCAGCTTGCATAGGATCCCTGGTTGTTTATCCTTTTTCCTGGAATCAACACATTCATCGGCTATCAACACTGCATCCATGATGTGCCTGCTCTTGATAAAGGCCATTTGTTGCTTGTTCACAGGCTTATGCATCACCTTCTTTAGTCTTTCAGCCAAAAGTTTTGTAATTATCTTGTAAACTCCCCCCACTAAACTTATTGGTCTAAAGTCATTAAGTTCTTCTGCCCCTATCTTCTTAGGTATCAAAGTCACAAAAGTAGCATTTATACTCTTCTCAAACACTTCTTCCACATAGAAGTTTTGAACTGCTGCAACCAATTCTATTTTGATGATATCCCAACACTGTCTAAAAAAAGCCATTGAAAAGCCATCTGGGCCAGGGGATTTATCCCCCGCACATGCTTTGATGCATTCTAGAATTTCCTGAGCTTCAAAAGGGGCCATCAGTTGGTTGTTGTCATTTT